AAGGAGCCAAGGGCAGGTGCGTCCAAGACAGGCTGGCAGAGGTGAAGCCTGTCCCCTCTGCAATTCCCCATCAGAGCTGCTGTACTGGCTTTGGGGGCAGGGGACCCTGGGGATGAATGTCAGCACCTTTCTATGAGCAACTCAATTTTCATCCTGGAGCCTCAGTCTTCTTCTCCATAAAATGGGTATAATAGTACCTGCTCATAATACTTGAGGAGATCGGGGCACTAAGCAACCAGCAGCACCTGGCTCAGTGCTGCCTGCAACTCCCTAAGTGGTAGCTATTGTTGTTGTTCATGGGTTTTGTTAGTTTAACAGACTAGTCCACCTGTTCAAATCTCTGCTCTTTGGTAGCTCATCCTGCCCTCTGTTCTAGGGAGCCTTAGTCTGTTTAGGCTGCCATAACAAAATAGCATAGACTTTGTGCTTATAAATAAGCATTTACTTATCACAGTTCTAAAGGCTGGAAGTTCAAGATCATGGCACTGGTAGATTTGGTGTGTGGTGAAAACCTGCTTCCTGGTTCACTGATGGTGGCTTTCTCTCTGCATCCTTGCATGGTGGCAGCTGGGGGAAGGACTTCTCTGAGGTCTCTTTTATAAGGGCACCAATCCGTCATGATAACTCTGCTATCATGACTTCATTGCCTCCCAAAGTTCCCACTGCCATAATCACCACCTTGGGGGTTAGGATTTCACATGTGAATTAGGGGGGAGGACGCAAACATTCAGACCATAGCAGGACCTGGGAGGGGGCTGATAACAGTGTAAAGAGAGGAGAGGACTGTACTCCCCAGGACCTAATCTGTCCTCTGTACCAGCCCATCTTTCTTCTGAGAAATTTCTGAGCACCTACTATGTTCCAGACATCTCACTGGAGACTTGGATTGACACACTCCTATTGCAAAAACATCATTGAGCACCTACTATGTGCCAGGGCCTGTACTAATGCTGGATACCCAGAGATGAACAATGAACAATGAGAGATTCCTTCCCTCAAGAAGCCCACAGTCTAACAAGGGAAACACATATGGACAGTGATAGAACATGGTAAGTGCTTCAATTCATTCCATTTCTTATTTTAAACAAGAGTCACCAAGCTCCTAGTATATATTAAACACTGTGCTGGGTGTTGTGGGGGTATTAACAGTTGGTAAAACAAGGCCTCTGCCCTTAAGGGACTCTGAGTCCATGAGGAAACTGAGAAAGTAACCAGCAAACATTCAAGAGGGTTTGAAATACCCAGATGGCCATATGCACAAGGCCTTGGGGCCCTGAGGAATTAGGTGTGAGGGATTATGGAAAACTTCCTGGTGGGGGTGACTCTTTTACTGAGGCTCTGAGGGTGGGCAGAAGTTGGGGAATCCTTCCAGAGATTTCTGGGAGACTTCCAGGGCTCTTGCCACTGACAAAAGCACCTTGGCTGTCTTGAAGGAGCACTGAAGGGCAGGGCTGAGGAGACATTTCTTAGAGAGGGGGCTGCCTGAGCTAGGTCCTGAAGCATGAGTAGGGGCTTAGGTGGCTGAGGTAAGGGAGGACACTCATACAGAAGGAATTGCACATGCAAAGGCAGAAGGCTGCAGGGAGTCACTTGCAAGAAATCCAGTTGGGAGGTAAGCTGGGGGCAGCCCTAAGAAGGCTTCTTAGATACTAAGAGTTTTAAGAACCTGGTCCTAGGTGATAGGGACCCAACGATGGACTCAGGGTCAAGGTCAGATAAGGGTTATGAGAAAGCTAATCCTCTGGAGATGGGATAAGGAGGAAGGGAAAGATGTCAACTTGTTAGGAAGGAAGGAAGGAAGGAAGGAAGGAAGAAAGAAAAAGAAAAAAGAAAAGAAAGAGAGAAAAGAAAGGAAAAGAGAAAAGAAAGGAAAAGAAAAGAAAGAGGAAGGAAGGAGGAAAGAAAGGAAGGAAGGAAGGGATGGAAGGAAGGAAGAGATAAGTGAATGAATGAATCAGACCTTGGACTCACCTTGACACTTACTTAAAAGTTCAGAGCACAAATCTTCCCAAATGTCCAACAAACAGCCTCCCAGCAGTTGCAGGGCCCTTCCACAGAAGAACCGGGGCACGGTGCCCAGTAGCATCCATCATACCCAGAGACAGAACCAGCAAGGTCTGTGTACACCCAGTCTTCACTCGGTTGGCTGTGCTGCAGTAGAATGCTGGCTCTCGGATCCCCAGTCTAGTAAGAAGGAGGCAGTTATAACCCAGGGAGCCACAGCAGGACATGCGGCGATGAGAGGTAGCATCAGGGAAACCTCAGAGGCTTTGGACCTCTGGGAAAGGTCAGCAGTCTGCCACTCAAATGACTCTGGGCTCAGGGGGACACCTCCATCCCCGGAGACTTCCCTGTGCCCAATGACTTCAGCTGGGCTCTCCCAGAAGCAGACCCCAAGATAAAGACACGTTTATTTTTATCTGAGAGGTGTCCCCAGGCAGCGCTAGTGCCCTACTGTGGGAACGAAGGGCAGGCCAGGGAAGGCAGCTGTGGATGGCAGGGCCTCCCCTGCATGGGGAACCCTGAGAGCCTGGTACACTCCTCTGAGGTGTCCCAACCGAGGGAGAGGAGCTGGGGTAGCTATCCATCCACCTCTGTCCATCCAGAGCTGCTTGAGAGCTGTTCCTAGGGGCTCCTAGTCTCAAAGTCTCCTAGTCACAAAGGCACCTGCTTACCACAGCAGTGCTGGTCACCCTTGTAACTGTAAGAGAAATGGCTCCAATAATTGTTGAATGTCTCTCTCCTGCACAGAGTAGAATCTTCCTGAGGGTAGAGGCAGCATCGCCACTTTCTCCCTGGGACCGAATTCAGTGTCTGGCACATAACAAGGTGTTCAAGATTATTAAGTATCTATTGAATAAATGTGATTTGGAGTCTGAGAAATTCATGGCACATGCCCACTTCTGTCTGAAAACCTTCTCTAGCCTCCTCCTCTCCCCACCCTGGTACAGCAGAGCCGACAAGTTGTTTCCCTGCATCTGTATCGACATCTGTATCATCTATGTCTATAATCTATATCTAATTTTGCCTTCTTTTAGAGCAATATAAACCCCAATATTTAACCTTGCCAGTGACTGCCTGGCAAGGTTAAATATATTTAACCTTTATTTAAAAATAAAGAGAGCTTTTCCCAGGCCCCTGTACAGCTAGGACTGCCCATGCATCTAAATTCTGACCAGTGGGGGTGCCTGGGTGGCTCAGTTGGTTAAGCATCTGCCTTTGGCTCAGGCCATGATCCCAGGGTCCTGGCATCGAGCCGTGCGAGGGGCTCTCAGCTTAATGGGGAGTCTGCTTCTCCCTCTGCTCCCCCCCATGCTCTCTATCTCAAATAAATAAATTAAATTTTAAAAAAAAATTTAAAAATGGGTGCGGACCAATGGGTGCAGAATTGACAATTGCCACTTTCAGGATGAGCCCTTACCCATGGATGCGTACCCCTCCTACTCCCCTTTCTCCTTCGGGCTGGCTGGAATTTGGATATCCTGGTGGGAGCTGGAGCAACCCCCTTGGATCTTTTAGTGGAAGACTTGGGCCATGAGACTGGTGGAAGCTAGAAGAACAGGGGGAACCCTAATGATCAGGGAGCCACTGCTCCAGCCCTAGGGTGAACCTCTGGTCTTGTACATGAGAGCCCTTGGTTACACCATTGCTATTTGGGGTTTTCTGTCGAGTGTAGCTGAACAGGCTCGTAATCCTAAGTGGGACCCCGGAAGGAGACTGTAGACTGCTTCTGGGCAGGGGAGGGAAGACATGACTCCCAGGTAGTGGAAGTAGAGCTTGCTGGAGTGGATGATCCCTCTGGCGGAAAGGAAGCCCCTGGCTCCTCCCACTGGCTGTCTCCGCCCCCCTCCCCCTTCTCTACCCCCATTTCCGCCAACTTCCCTCAGGGCTTCCAGAAGTTCTTTCTCCCAGAACAGCAGTTACTCTCACAGACTCTCTTTCCCTTCGGGATGCTCCAGACATCCCCCGCTATGGTGAGTCCAGGACTGCGTGCTGCTGCCACCCCCCTTCCCAACAGTGACATCAAAGTTCCTCTGGGGCTGGGGCAATCCCCTCTTCCCACCCCTACTCCTTAAGGGCATCAGGGAAGTAAAGTCTACACAGTTTTCTGCAGCCTGGCTGTAAGAAGGGAATCTGAGGGTAGCCTGTGCACCACCCGCCGCCCCCCAAACCCTGCTCACATTGTGTTTGGAGGATGAGAAGTGGATCTAAAGGCAGGTAAAATACAGAGTCCCTACAAAGCGGGTGACAAAGATACAGGAGGCACAGGGAACAGCCATGGGCCCACGTTGGCCCAGGGACACATGGTTCTAAGAGCCTAGTGATTCAGAACAAGGGCCGTGGGGGCTGCAGGAGTGGGAGGAAAACTCTAGACCCTCCACTAAGGGCTCCACCGATCCATTTGTCCTGGTCTCTCTGCTCTTCTCCCAACCTTAGTTCTCCCGGGGCGACCCTCCAGATCGAGCTCGGGAATGAGGAGAGGTCTTGGGGCGGGGTAACCCCGCACGGCGGCTCTTTCTTATACTAGTCACCAACAGCTCTTGGGGTTACACGAAAGTAACCGGAAACGGGAGGGGTCTTACGGGTAGTGTGACCTTGAACAAGTCCCAAGCGCTGGTCCAGCCTCAGTTTCTTCTGGGGTAGCCTGAATGGGGGGGGGGGGGGCGGGTCTGGCTTTCCTTAGCCAGAGCAACTTGGGGGAACCTGGGGGAGACTGGGGGGCGGGGGTTGGGGGGACGAGGGCACCCGCGGCGCTGGGTGCTGGTGGCAGGCTCCTGCGCTTCTCAGCCCGACCGGTCCTCGCCCGGAGCGCAGCGCCGGGTGCCCGCGGCCGGGGTCCGACAGGTGAGAGGTGGAGGAGGCCCCCGGCGGCGGGGGCGGAAAACGCGGGACCCGGCCAGGCCCTCCCGCGGGCGGGGCGGCCCCGCGTCGGCTCCTCCCCCGGCGCCGCCGGCCGCCCGGGATCAGTCGCCGCGCGCGGTTCCGCAGGTGGCAGCGATGGCCCGGTCCTGAGCGCCCCGCCATGGCTCGCGCCCCCAGCCCGCTCTGCCTGGCGCTGCTGCTGCTCGGGGCGGTGGGCAGGGTCGGCCCCCGCCCCCAGGTGAGACCCGTGGCCCCCGGGGGTAGGGGGAGAAGGCGGGGGGCCCTGAGGGCTGCGGGCGCCGGGTCCCGGCAGGGGTGGCCGGGACTTGAGCGAAACTCCGCGACCGCGGGCGGAGGGAACCGAAGCCCTGGGGGGCGGAGTAGGCACTGGAGAGTTGGGCGCCCTGAGCCGGGGGCTTGGACGGCGGCTGGAGGTGGAGGCTCGGACGGCGGCCGCGCCCCCTCCCTCGCCGCCCCTGCCCCGCACCCCCAACCAGGCCACCAGCTGCCCCGCAGCCGCCTTGCGTTGACTTCTGCGCCGCATCTCCCCAGACCACTTTCCCAACTCATGCTCCTCGCAGACTCGTGCCCGCGGCCCTGGCACGGCCCCGGCTCGCCCCCCTTCCCTGACCTCACCTCTCCCACCACGTCCCTGAGCCCTCCCCGCAGTGCCTGCCCCTAGCCCACCCCTCTCGCTCATCAAAGACCCCAAAAGGCTCCGGGAAGACGGAGAGGGCCAGGGTGTGGACACCCAGCTCCATTACCCCCTCACCAGCCCCCCAGCTCAGCCTTTGACTCATAGCCCTAGGGACCCTGCGGTGGCAGCTGGTTGTCCTTTCTGACCTCCCAGATGGAACTTGAGTGCCCCCTCCCCCAGCCCCTGCGGCAAACACGTAAGGAGGCTCCCAGCGCCTCTGGGAGCAGCCAGGTCCCCCTTACACACTTGTGTGACCCCCCATTCTGACTAACCTGGTTGACAACATATACCAGAAGGCATACTGGGACACTCAGAGACACCTTGGTCCCTTGGATGCCACTGGGGAGCAGACCACAGATAGACCCCTGCAGCCCCTCTCTGTGGCTCTCATTGCCCTCCCTGCCTTTCCTATCTGCAGGCTCCTGGGCTGGGGGCTGTAGCCAGCCTGCTGGCAGTGTGGGGAGTTGTCCAAAGATGTGAGACGCTAGAGCAGAGAGGAGGTGCAGGCTTGGGTGGCCTGTCTGGTGTCAAGGGAAATATCTCTTCTTGCTGCCTCTGGTTCCTACCCCCAGACTTGAAGAACTGAGAGTTTTGGGGAGTGGAGCTGTACAGGCCTTGGAATTTGTCCCAGCATGGGTGGGGGACATGGTGAGGGGCCATTGCCTTGGTAAAGGCTGACTTGAGCCTGGCTGAGAATCCAGATGTGGACAGATGTGCCAGCCCATTTCAGCCCTCCAACCCCAAATTCTTTTCCGGACTAGTTCCTTCCCTCTACCTGTCCCCCAGCCCAGCTACTGACCCTAGCCACAGGAGACACCCCGGCTTCCCCAGCACTTTCCCACAGTCCCTCAGCCAGGCCTTGACTTCCCTGATGTACTTGGCATCTCTCAGGAGCCAGGACTGCAGACACATTAGCATGACGGCCTCTCGGGCTCATCTTTACTGCGAGTTGGGACTAGGACTGGATGGAGGTGGAAAGCCTTCCGGCCACCTCCCATCCTGCTCCAGGCAGGTTTGCAGACCTGGTTTGGACTGAGGGAAGAGGGCAGGTTCTGGAGGCTGCCTGTCTTCTCCCCAAAATTCCTTTCCCCAGAGGAATCTGGTTCCTTGAACCTGCCCTTACTTCTGATCCCCTCACTCCTCAGCCCTGGGTCAGAGCAAAAGCCAACTATCCTGGAGCCCTAACAGGCCTGGGAGGGCAGAGCAGGACAGGAGGAGCTAGGCTCTGAGCAAGGAGATGGAACTTTCCAGGGCTGTTCTTGTTGCGAGGGTGGAGGGGGTGCGGAGGGACTGAGCCTCCCTGGCCACCACAGAGATCTGAGCAAAGGGGCTTTGAGGTTAGACTGCAGTCCTGTGACACAACCTTATGCCCATGTAGAGCACTCTAGAAATGGGTGAATTTTGCTTTCTGTTTTCTGTTCCTGAGGTCAGCAAGACTAGGGGTATGCAGACACAGAGAGAAAAATGGGTGAGAGGCTGGGCTGGTGCCTCAAACCTGCTTCCTGGAAGGAAGAACACAGAGTAAGCTGTCCACTGTCAGATATGGCTAGGCTGGAAGTGGCTTCTTTGCAGGCAGGTGGATGGCCAAATTGACCTCTAAAGAAGGGGGCCTAGGCCACTCCTTCACTGTTGCTGAAAGGACACACCCTTCCCCTATTCCTTACCTCCCTAGGACCCCTGTGAGGGAGCTGGTCTATGAGGAGACAGGCAAGCCTCTGAGACCCAAAATGAGAACCAGCCAAACCTGGGTTCAAATCTCAGGTCTGCTCTTAGCTGGTGATCTTGGTTAGGACAATGACCATCCCGAACCTCAGTGTCCTTCCTTGTCTGTAAGCAGGAATCACAACCTCTACCTCAAAAAGTTATGGAGAGGACTGAGCTACTGGAACCCTGAAATGGCAGCTTTAGGCACATGGGGGAGCTGACCCATTTGTCCTCCAGAATCCGGAAGCCTTCTTCAGGGCAGCCTAGGGCTTGGAGAGAGGCTGTGGGAGGCCTGAGCCTCCGCATTCTAGTGAAGGGTGGAGGGAGTCCGGGGTGCACAGCGGTCAGCATGGACTTTGTTCTGAGCTGGGCTCCCTCCCGGACACGGATCCCAGGTGGGAGCTGGGACAGGAGCCACCAAGAAACCACATCCTGCCCTCCAATTCCTTGTTCTGAGGAAAAACAGGCCCTTCCTTAGCTGCAGCCTGGCCCTAGGCAGATTCCTCTGGGTGTGTGTGTGAGAGTGTGTGTGTGTGTGATAGAGAGACACAGAAATACAGAGATAGAGACAGGTAGAGAGACATGGAAAGTGAGAGACCAGGGGGAGGAGGGTGTAGGTTTTATGAGCCCCTGTTTCTGTGTGTATGTGCGTGTGATCCTGTGTGTGGCAGTCTGCTGGTGTGCGAGTAACATGTGTGAAACATCTCAGCGTGTAATTGTGTGTTCAACAGTGTATATGTGCTTGCAACCCCACGTGTGATACCGTGTCTATGGGAAGGTCTATATGTGTGTGTGTGAGAGACAGATTTTTGTGTAAATGGGTGTTTGCCGGGATGTGCCAGCATGTGGGTGAGAGAGAGTGTGCTTATGACAGAATGTGTGTTTCTCTGTGTACGTGTGTGTGACTGCGTGGGTCGAGTATATGTCAGTCAAGAAGGTGGTGTGTGTGTATGCGCACGCGTGTGTTGGGGGCAGTGGCTCAGCATGTGAGTGGGTACCTGACAACCTGTGTGTGTGTTTGTGTGGAGGGGGGAGACTGTCATGTAAGCATGTGCTTAACGGTGTGCATGATAATGTGTGTGACAGTATATCTGTGTGAGGGTTCCCGAGCATATGACACTGCGGGTCAGTTTTCTTTTCCCTGCCCTCTGCTCATGTATCTGGAGCCCTTAAGAAAAAAAATAATGAGGTCAAGGAGCCACGGGTTGGCAGCCCCCACCCTTCCTGGGCACAGGGGCCAGGGTGAAGGTTTGGGCAATGGGAGGTGGACAGAGAGGAAGGAGGCTGGGGATGTGGGGCGGGACTGCTGGGAAAGGTAGGGGCCGCATCATTTGGGAGGTCCCAGAGGTGTCTTGTGGATCTCTCTTTCTCCTTTGGGGTTCTCTCCCATTTTTCCTACCTCAGTGGTCCAGAGAGGCCAAGGTCTTGTTCCTCCTTCCCTCAATCAAAAAGGTTCCCAGAAAAGGAAGGAACTTAATTTACACTGAGAAACAAAACTGGAGGAGGAATTTTTTTAGGTTGGCACCCAGTCTTGGAGACCGAGTGCCTTCCTGGGGAGAAGGGAAGACTCTGTCACCTTGAGAGCATCCACTCCATCTTCATCCTTCCCTGACTGCCTTTCCTTCTATCGCTGCCCACCATTACAGGGCTGGAGAATTAAAAAAGATATTCACTCACTTTATGTTGCTGGATCTCCATTTACAGTAACTCTTTGGGAAGAGCAATATGCCCATTTTATAGATGAGAAAACTGAGGCCCCAAAGGATTAAAGTGAATCCTGTCAATCCCACATTAACAGTTAGAACTGGGATTTTAAACCCAGGACTTGTGGCTCTCTGTCCAGTGCTCTCTCCAGCACGCCACTCTCTCCTGGCATCCTCTTTCTCACCTCCTGCTTCCTCCAGAAACTCCTGAATCTGAGAGATGCCCCTCCTTATTATAACCTCCACTGGGCATTGTCTCCATTTTATCCCCTCATCCCCTTCAGAGAGATCTCACAAAGCCTGGCAAGTGCGGATTCTAAAACCTTCCAAGCTGCCCTCATCCGGCCCCATAGCCCTCACCGCTGCCCTCTTCTCTGGGCCATCCCTGCTGTCTCCACGACCGTATCCTTCCCATCAGCAGCACCCGCAGTTCCGCCTCATCAGTCTTGGAGCGGGGACTTGTGTCAGAGGAGGGTGAAATGGGGCTGGGGGCTGCGGGACAGGGCCTGCCGCTTCTCACGGTTCCCTGCCCACGGACGTCGGGTCCTGAGCCTCCCCACATGGGTTTGCGGCTGGAAGCTGCCACACACTAAGCAGAATGACTGGTCCTTAGCAGGAAAATGTGTTCATTTTCTCCTGGGAGATTGCTGATCCTGGAAGTGAGGGAGGGGTAGCGCCCAGACTCCCCAGGAGGCCAGCCTGCCCTGTCCACTCTGTCTTTCCCTTCTCTTGTAAACAGCAGAAGTCCAGCCCAGAGGAGGGCTGCATTGGCTGTACATTTTCCATGGGCCAGGGGCCCTTCTAAGCATTAACTCACTTTTAATTCTCACAACAATCCTGGGGGCGGGGGATAAGTAGGGACTACTATTATTCCCATTTTGCACACATGTAAGCTGAGGCTAGAAGTTAAAACTCTTGCACAGGGTAACAAACTTAATCTGTGGGGAAGTCAGGGGTGGGCCTGGATCTGAGCCCAAAGCCAGGGCTGTTCACCCTCCACGGTCTTACTGGGTTCACCTGAGCACTTGGGCCCTGCTTACTGCTGGTCACCGGCCTTATCCCAGACCAGAGTCTCATATCTACCCCAGTCCTGGCCCCTGCTCTCTCCCTGGCCCAGAAATTTCTTTGGAACACCAGTCCAAGGCCTTTCTCTACTGACAGGAACTGTCCCCACTTCTGCATTTTGGTACCTGCTGGGCCGTCCTGCTGAAATGCCCATCCTCCAAACTTGCTAGCCCAGTGTCTTCCTCAGCTCACAGTCCCCAGAGTCCCCTAGAACTGAGTCTACACTGAACCTGGCCCCAAACACCCCCTGAGCGCTTTCACCCCTGCTTTCTCTGTGATGTCCTGCTAAGCCCTTGACCTGACCCACACCCAAGTAGCCTGAGGTCTGTTTCAGGCTAGGGCTCTCCCTTTCCTCTATGTGTTCCCCATCTCCCTCATCCTCCCAGAGCCTGGCACAATATGACTTCCATAAACACCAGATGGGGGAGAGGCCAGAGGTCCTGGTAGTTTGTGCTATATGTGCAGTGGGGGGAGGGAGAGGGAGGGAAAAGTACAGTGAGGAGTTTGTGGAGACCCTGGGCTCATGTGGGAAGAAGACAGAGGACCCAGATTGTCAGGCAGCTCTCTCTCTCAGGGGAGAGATATTCCCTGCCCTCAGGGAGCCCCAGTCTGAGGGGGAACACAGCCCAGCCCTCAGGGAGCCCCAGTCTGAGGGTGGAGACCCAGTCCTGCCCTTGGGGAGCCCGAGTCTGAGGGAAGACACAGCCCTACCTCAGAAGGCCCCAGTGTGAGGTGGGGGAGATACAGTCTTGCCCTCAGGGAATCTTAGTCTGAAGATAGTTTTATATCAGAAACTCTGCTCAGAGCAGGTGACAGGGCTCCCTCTGTCTTGAAACGCCCTGGAGTGTTTGTGACCAGGTTTGCCATCATGGTGCTGTCCTTAGCCTTTAACCTCATTCCTATCCATACCCTGAGACTTCTGGTTTCCATCAGCTTCCTTTTCCCCACTCCCTGCCCTAGACACACCTGCCCCATTTCCCAGCTCTGACCGTGACCTTGTTTCCTTCCTGCTTTCCTTCTAGAAAGGGAGATCAAGGAGAATTTCTTCCCAGTCTTTCTGCCCTTTTACCACCAGCTGCTGTGTTGGGGGTCCAGGGGTGGGGATAGAAGGAAAAGGGGTGGAGAGTGGGGTTGATCCACCAGGACTGGCTGTAGTGAAAATTCTACTGACCTTTCTGTTGTAGCTAAAAATCAAGACACTGCCTTCACTACTGTTGTGTTTTATTCCTTGTTCTTTTATTTGTTTTTTAAAATAAATCACTTGACCTTTGCCCTCAGAAGAGTTCCTTCAGGTGACACTACTTGTAGCCTCAGCACACTAACTCCTAGAACATGGCTGGGGCTCTAGCAAGCCTGGTCCCCTTCCAGAAGCTTCCACTGTGGGCAGGGATGAGCACAGGACAACCTGTGTCTTTATGGGAGGTGTCCTATAAACCAGGACTCAGCTTAAACCAGGGCAAGATTACCCAAAACCAGATCTAGCATGTGTTTAGGGCACCACCACCAAGTCAAGGGTACAAGCTTCTAAAAAGTAGTTATTTTGATTTCAGCACACGTGTATATTTTTGTGATTTCAAAAAGCGAAATTTTGTTTTCAATTATGTATGAACCTTAAATTTTGTGCAAGGGGCTCCCTGGTCATTTCAGCATCGGCAGCCTCCAAATGAGGAGTATTTAGAATCTTAAGCCTGTTCAGGAAAAAAATACAAAGAAAAAAGGAACACCGTCCCTGGACCTATCTTAAAGAAGTGAACAAAAATTTCTTTTTTTTCTCAGAAGGGTCATTTCTCACGTGGGTGGGTCTGCTTGGGTCTCTGTGCTAAAAAGCCTGTTGTGTCTACCTTACCTAAAACTTGAGGTTCATGTCCCCCTTCCTCACAGATAGGGGGACCCATCCCATTGCAAGCCTGAGCTCCTTTTTCTGGTACTTTTCTGACCCCATGTCCTCAGGATTTCTTCAGGTGGGGAAGCTGAGCTGAATATTTGATCTCTATTGTTACATTAGAAAGGGACAATGCGGGGCTGGTGGGGGGGAGGTCCTGTTGGCCTCCCAGATAATGACTGTGTATTTCAGGAGAGATGCTAATGTTGTAGCCTTACCAAGCTCTGCTCCTTGGGGGACTATGTGGCTTCAACTGAGCTCCTCTCCCACTCTGGGCCAGCATGTCCCCTACTGGAATGATTGAAAGTGCAGGAACCTTGGGGGCAGGCTGACTGGGCACTGGGAAAGGAGTCTACAGCAATCATGAAGTCTTGGGCCCTCAGGAACTCTGCCTTCTTGGTGAGGTCAGAGCAGACCATGAATGGACGCCCTCTCCTCCCCCGTCACCCACTCACTCCCCAAAAGCATCATTTCAGTGGATATTTGCTGGCTGCTTCCTACACATCAAGGTATGCGCTTGTCTATCGGGAGGGATTAAAGATGTAAAAATATCCACCTGGAGCCCCCCTGTGGTAGGACTTGCTCTGTCCCTCTCTTGGACATAGCCAGTGCCTGAGGGAGTTTGGGGCTCTAAGGTACCCTGGAGATGATGAAACCAAGTGTAGGGAACAGGGGTAAGAGAGAGTGGCTGGACCCAAAGGGCCTCCATTTCTCCCCTCCCCGCACAGGGTGCCACTGTGTCCCTCTCGGAGACAGTGCAGAAATGGCGAGAATACCGACACCAGTGCCAGAGATTCCTGACTGAGGCTCCCACCCCAGCCACAGGTGAGTCCAGGTGGGATTTCCTGGAGACTTTGAAGCCCTACTCCCCAAGTCATGGCCGGGCATCGTTTGCCTCTCTAGGATGCCACATCCGCCCTAGGCCTTGGGGTGCCATCTTATTCCTCCTTATTTCGGGAGCAGAGACCTGGCCTTTCCGTTCTTGGCCTTCCTTCACACTTCCTGGCCTGTGCAGGGACTGAAAGCCCAACGAACATATTTAAAGGAAGCATTGTTTCAGGGGAGTTTGTGGGGTGGTCTAAAGGGCAGAGGATTAGAGCCAGATAGGCCTAGGTTCAAATCCTGGCCCTGCGATCATAGGGCTGTGACCACAGGCAGGTTATTCTAGCCCCATGAGCTACCGTTTCCCGCCTTGCCTGAGACGGAGACTTTAAGAGCACTTACGTACCATGCACAGGGATGGCACAGGGATCCAGGTGACATAACACTGTTGGTCCCCAAAAGGCCCTGTGGGCTCAGAATCAACCCCATTTCACAGATGAGAAACTAGACAGTAAGTAACTTGCTCCAAGTTCCACGGCTGCTCAGGGCCCAAGTCCCCTTGCACAGCACCTGCTAGGTGGGAAGAGTGCTGGGCACACAGTGAGTGCCCGAAGGGCTTAGAAGGGCACAGGTTGGGGCCCATCAGCCTCCACGGCGGGGAGTGGGGAGGAGTGCCACTAGCAGGCCAGGCAGGAACTCAGAGACTCTCTCTTCTGTCCCCAGGTCTGTTCTGCAATCGGACCTTTGATGAGTATGCCTGCTGGCCAGACGGGCTGCCAGGCTCGTTCGTGAATGTCAGCTGCCCCTGGTACCTGCCCTGGGCCAGCAGTGGTGAGTCCTCTCTCCCAGGTGGAGTTGGAGCACTGCTGCCTTTCTGCCCGACTCAGTGCTCAGGACTCAGGACTCAGAAGATGTTTAGGCCTCCTGATGGGTGTCTCTCTGCCTGTCTTTCCCTGGGAGGGGGTCGTGGGGAGCCTCACGTATAGCCTAAGCTAGGGCCTGTGCTGGTGCAGGAGGAGGGGGGAGAGTGTGGGGTTTGACTTAAGAGAGACATGTAAGCCCCCTCCATCCAGTAGTCAGGAAAGGAGCTGGGTGGGAACAGATCCTAGGGTTGGGGAGTGTGTGTGTGTGTGTGTGTGTGTGTGTAGGTATGTGTGTTTGCAGGTGCCATCTACCTCATCGTGGTGCTTGGCCACCTCCTGACTCCTCAGTAGTTCACTGGTCAGATGAATACAGATGAGATGAGAGCTTAGGGCAGTGGCGATGTTGTCCCTCCTCTGACCCCCCACCCCCACCGCCAGTGGGCTTCCCTCCCTAGCTCACTCCTGCCTGCAAGGGATACCCTGCCCTGGGAGAGGTATGTCATTGGAATGTAGGGACCTACAGAGGCTGCAGGGGGTGCTCTGACTGGAGGGGTAGCCAGTGCACCCCCACTGCCACCCACCAGTCCTGGGCACCAGAGAGGTTAACAGGGGACTAGCACCCTTGCCTCAAGAAGCTCATAGTCTCAGTAAAGTAGAAAAGTCAGTCTCATAATAGCCAATACTTACTGACTACCTACGCTGTGCCAAGTCTGGTATCTGGTATCTGGTACCTGGTATCTGGTATCTGGTACCTCATGGTTATGCTTGTTGTACAGATGAGGCAATTGAGGCCCCAGAAAGGGGAAACTACTTGCTTCAGATGATGTAAATGGTAGACCCACCGTTTGAACCCAGACTATGCTCTTAACCACTGTGTCTCGAAGGGGCCTTCAAGCAGAAGCCAGCCCAGAAGCAAGTGAGCGAATGAGGTCATACTGTCGGAATCCAGTGGTCTTCCTGGAAGAGGTGGCCCCTTGGTGGAACATCAGGGCCCCTGGTGAGGCCTGGCAGTAGACGTCCCCTCAGAACGAAGGACCGATGAAGCCCAGAGAGGGGTGTTGAGGAGGCTCTTTCCTTCTCAGTCTTCCCAATACACCCACCTCCCCCCAAGGTGTGCAAGGAGAGCCAGGACTTAGAGAGAGGCACCCACCTGGTAAGATGCAGAGTAGACCAGTGGCCCTCCCATAGCACTTCTGTGGCCTGTTGTAAGCACTTTATATCCCTACACTCACTTACTCCTCCCATGAGCAAGGACTCTGATTATGCTCTCATTTTACAGAGGGGGGAAACTGAGGCACAGAGATGCCAAGTGCCTTTTCCAAGCTCACAAGCTAGGGAGTAGCAGACCCAGGAATCCATTCCAGAATCTGGTTTGGAATTGGTGGAATTTCTTTCTTTCTTTCTTTCTTTTTTTATTTATTTATTTGACAGAGATCACAGAGAGAGAGGAAGAAGCAGGCTCCCTGATGAGCAGAGAGCCTGATGCGGGGCTCCATCCCAGGACTCTGGGATCATGACCTGAGCCGAAGGCAGAGGCTTAACCCACTGAGCCACCCAGGCGCCCCTGCAATTGGTGGAATTTCTACACCAGGCTCCCTTGAGTGTGCACACACTTGTGTGTGTGCATATGTGTATGTTCTTGTGTGTGTGGCTCTGGGCATGAAGACAGGTGAGTGGCCTGGGTCTGCTGGCTGGGCACACTCCAGGGAACGGCAGTGAGCTGCCTGCCCTCCCTACAAATAAAAGAGTTGAGTCCTGCAAACTAACAGTTCTTGTCAGTGCTCTGAGTGGCTCTGGGATCCTCAGCAGACGCCCGGACCTCTTTGTGCCTCAGCTCACTCACTTGGGAGATGGGATAAAGCCAGGTGATAACGGTACGGGGAGGATTGCAAGTTCTTGAAAAACGGCTGCTGTTGAGTTTTTCCACCCACCCTACTTATTTGCCCCACCTCCCCAAATCCACAGGCTTGCCCTGCCTCCCGGAGGTTTGGGACCGGCTGCTCGGCCAGCCTGGGCTGGGCCTCTAGACCCCAGGGAGCCAGGCCCCGGACAGGGCCCATCACTCAGCACTAAGCTGCCCCCAGCTCTGCTTGCCCCTTGCGGCTCCATCCATCACCTTTAATTTTATTTGAGCAGGAAATAGGTCCTGGTGGTGCCCGTTTATGAGTGAACACGGTTTTATTGCTTTCTCCATGAAGATACTGGCCGCTGCCCAGGCCCCCTGCCAGGCTCCACTCCCTCCCCTGACTCACCATGCTAATTCGCTCTGTTTTCTGATGCTCAGGATCACAGGCTCTGCCTTTCTCTCTCCTCTCCCTGAGTGAGGGACCTGCAGAGCCACCCACCGTGGGGTCCCACAGTACAGTTGCCATTCCGGCTTGTCCTGCTGGTCCCTTTGGCAGCGGCCGGCCCCAGAGACTTCCCTGACACCCACCAGGCCATGTGGAAGCAGTAAGGGGCCAGAGCTGGAGTTTCTTGGGCTGATCAAGGGAATGGCCTATGGAGAAACTTGACTCCGAACGACACAGTTAGGGGTGAAGAGAAGGACCGTGGGTCATGGCAGGGAACACACTCAGGTGAGAATCTGAAGAGAATTTAATGGAGGGGACATTTGCCAAGGTTGGGCAGGGTTAAGGGGCCACGAACATGTAAAGCACCAAGGACTGTAAGAGGAGGAAGTTTAAGCATTCCTAGACCTGAGTGGAGCCCGCATAGGGCCCTGGGGCCCCATGACAGCCGGAGGTGGTGGTGACGGAGAGCCTACCCAGCAGGGCTGTGGCCACAGAAAGGCCCTCCTACCTTTTACTTGTGCCTCCCACTGGGCAAACCTGTAGAGGGCAGGGAGCCCAAGCGATGCTGTCCACATAGGTCAGTCTTCTGGGGTGCACGGCAGGGCAGAGGGATATGTGACCCCAGAAAGAATTAAATTCAAGACAATGACCAGACACTCAGGTTAGGTCCATGTCAGGAGATGGGGGTGCCAGTGAGACCTCAGGGTGTGTGAGTGTGTGCATTGAGGAAAAGGGGGTGACTCCTCACCACAGGGCTGTAGAGGTCAGCTCAGCGGCTCAGGCAGTGGTGCTGAGGGAGGTCAGAGGCCCCTTTTTTACCTGGGGTATGGCATCAGGGAGGCTTCCAGAGAGAGGGGGCATCAGCGCTAGGTCTGAAAGAACAGAGAGATGGAGAAGGGGGAAGGAGGGCCCTCCGGGAGGGGAGAACAGCCGGGCGTCACCTTGGAGATGGAGCTGGGGCCAGGCCTTGGGCCTCAGAGCCACCTGACATCCAGGGATAGGACGCCAGCCAAACCCTTGACTTCTGAGCCCTCTCACTCAGCATTTGGGACCCCAGAGGGCAGAAGCAGATGACTCAAGGAAGGAACGTGTTCGGAGGAGATGCCTGGCATTAATAAGACTTTGTGAGCCAGAAGGCTCTAGTGGCTGCTGAGAGCCCGTTGCCGCCTGAGGGCTATCTAGCAGCCTCATTTACCCACAGACAGCCGATCCGCTGGTTACAAATCATTCCGGTCTCATTAGTGGCACCCCCTCCTGATCTGTACCTGTTTGTTAGTTTAGTTCTCATTATAGGAAAGTCATAAAAGGCTTTTAAGATGGCCTATAACTCACAATTCTCAGAAACTCTGACAGTTGCCTCCCTTGAGTCTTGTCAAGCCCAGGAGCTTTCTTGGCAGGCCGGCAGGCCAGTGTTGCCCCAGAGAGATCAGGGTGAGAGCGTGGCCCTGGAGGAGTGGTGGCTGACATGGTGTCCTGCCCCAGTCCCGGCCTCACTGAGGGAGTGCCTTCTGGAGAAACTGGGGTGGGGGCAGCCGCAGGGCTTTTACCGTGACCATGTCTTAAAGGCCTCCTACACACCAGGCACTTCTCATGCTTTATCTCCTAATCCTCACACCACATACCTGGGATGCCATTACGGTTCCCATTTTACAGATGAGGAAACTGAGGCCCAGCGAGGTCTGCCCGAGGTCCCACAGCTGGTTGAAGGCAGAGCTAGGATTTGAACTTGGGTCTGTGTAGTTCAGAACCTGAGCTTTTCTGTGCCATGACTGACACACTACACCTGTCCCCCAACCCAAGCTGATAGCTTTCAGTTCCAGCCCTGCCTTTGACCCTCATTCCACTACACTGGGGAGGGCCTGGGACTCCCCACCCCGAATCTGAGCCCTCCTGTCTGTCAGCCGGGGCCTAGTAGCCCTTGCGGGCCGCTGCTGTTGCCAGGGTGCAGGAGCTAATGGATTCATGAGCAGCTCTCCACAGCCCTGAGAGCCTGCATCCACGTGGAAGGGCGGCTGTTAGCTTGATTACAGACGCCGCTGCAGTTTCCGGGCGGGGAAGTGTTTAATTGGGGGTTTTATTTCCAGCACCAGGGTCTGACTTAATGAAATATCCCTGGGCCTCCTGGCATGTGGCCGGTGGCCTCCTGGTGTTGACAAGACCAGAGCCAAGCCCCTGGCTGTGATTTATCAGCCGCTCCTGGGCCAGATAAAGCTGAGCTGATAAGCAGGGCTGGGCACGGACCCACCCCACCTCCAGCCAAGATGGGCATCTGGGGACCAGAGGCCTGTCCAAGAATGAGTCCTGGCTTTTAATACTGGCCACTAATGAAGGCTAATTGACAGACACACTCTCATGGGCTCCCTGAGCTTCTCGGGGACGCAGTGATCCCTTGACACGGTGCCAGTCACACATCTGGGCGTGTACCACCTCCCCATCTTCCGAGCTGGCCTTGGACAGAAGGCCCAAGAATGGGGCACACTGCTGGGGATCCACACTGGCCGGAGAAACTGCTGGGTGGATGCTGGGAATGTTAGCAAACCGAAGCCCAGAAGAAGGGCAGACAAGAAATGGCACGTGGCCACGGTTGACTATTAGCAATGAGCTTGGCTGTGAACTTACGAACTCTGAATGTAGAGAGCTGGGGCTCTGGATCCTGACTCTGCTACTTCCTGGCTGGATGAACTTGGGCAAGTCACCTGGCCACTCAAAGGCTCAGTTTGTCCATCCATAAAATGGGACTTGCCACACCTACCTTGGAATGTGGTTGTGTTGTTCAAAGTTGTCAGGCATGCCGCAGGTCAGTGTGTAGCTTGTAGAGAGGCTGTATAAGGTGCATGTGGAGAGGGAAAGCAATTGTGGGTGCACCTGTGTTACCTGTGGTATTATTAGGGTGTTATTGGGGTCACCCTACTGTGGGCTGAGGACTGGGTACAGTGGTGGTTTTTGCCCCATTGCCGTATCCTCTCCCTTCCCCCTGGGCCCTCTGCCTCCTTTCTCCTCCCTTGCTGTCATGAGAATGGGTTGCCAGTGAGGGCTCTGACATCATTCTCACTCCCTATGGGGTAAGCCCAGATCCTCATCACTCCTCTGACGTTATCCCGCCACTGAAGACTGGCTTGGCCTCATCTCAGAAGATTCAAGCCCTGGTGAAGAATTCCAGACATCCATGCAGCGCATGAGAGAGGCACTGGGTCCTGAGAGGAACCCTCCCAGTTGCTAAAACCAGACCTTTCCCTGCCTTTATTTTGGCCTGATTTTGTTCATAAACGCACTTGAGAGCTATTGGGACTCCGCTCTTCTCACTGCTGGAAGTCCCGCCATTAGGTTGTCAGATTTTTGTTTCTCTTCCAGGTTAAGTCTCTTAGAATGCAGGTCCTTCTAGAAGCAATGATGCTGCAAGCTGATTTGCCCTACTGTATTTCCAGATACTTCTGTCTCTTCAAGAGGGCCCTGGTTCAGGGCTTGTTTATGAAAGAGAGTGGGAGAAAGGAGAAGAGTGAACAGGGAAGCAGCCGTGGGTGACTGGAGGTCGGTGGTAAGGAAGGACGAGGGTCTGACTGACAGCCCCTGCAGGCGTCTGACATACCAGGAGTGGACAGACTGACGGTTTGTGAACCGCAAGACAAACCCCTGGTCTAGATGGCTGCGTCCCTGCCGGGCCATTTCGGGGCAGGCCCTGGGGTTGGGGGGCTCCCATCATGCACACGTGTGAGCAAGTCTCTTCCCACACACAGTTCTCACTGCTGCCGCTCCACCTGGAAACTTCTGACCAGGGCCTGCTACACTTCTCCATTTTCCCTCCCTCCCTCCCTCCCTTGGCACCTTTATCTCAGAGCTGGTCCTTAAAATTTTTTAGTCCTTTAGAATTTTTAAATCTTTTAAATTTCATCCTGGCTCCAGTTTCCCTCATTGATCTCCCTGGGCTAACCTAACCCTGTTTTGACCCCGGTTTCCTAATCCTGGGGTCAGACTTCCATTTACCTCCAGAGAGGTAATGAGACATTTCCTTCCAGGCACAGGTAAGCCCCTCATTCCCTCTCATGACCCCGCAGTGATCCGGGGGCCAGAAGCCACCGACCTCCCTGGGTAGGGGGATGGTGGGGCATGGTAGACTTGATGTGAATGGGCATAGAGAACGTCTTATCCCCAGCTCTGCTGGGCCTGTGTTTGATCTCTCTTAGTTTGCATTTATGCCATAACTTTCTGAGGACTGTTTTTTCGGTGAGAGTCTTCATTCCCTGAAGCCAGAAACTGTGCTTCTTCCTTCAGGCTGGGAGCTCTCTGAGGACAGGGGCTGGAACTCTCCCTCCTTTCAGACTGGGAGGTCTCCAAGGACTGTTGCTATCCCCAACATCCCCATTGAAGGGAGGAGTTGGGTCTTCCCCCTTTGAGTGGAGTGTCCCCAAGGGCTGTGCCTCTATCATGGGTCAGGCATCTGATTGATGGTCATTTAGATATCATTTAGATCAGGCCATCTTTGAGGATAGGAGTGTGTCATTTCTATCAGATTAGGACTTCCTAAAGGCAGGGCTATGTCTCCTCCCTCAGACTAGGGCTCCCCGAGGACAGAGCTATATATCTTCCCTCTCAGACTGGAGCTCCCTGAGGCAGGGCTGTGTCTCTTCCTCCCTCTTCCTCCTATGCATCTGTTGCAGGGTCTGTCCTGTCTGTGGAATGTTGGAGGGAGCCAGGAACTGAGTCCCGAAAACCAGAAGTCACAGTGGGTGTCTGTGGAGCTGTCAGGTGGTCAGTGCCAGACCTTGTCAGGAGTGTGATTTCAGGCTAGAAGCATGACATGGAAATAGGCTAGAGTTGTCTCATCTCAAAATCATGACTTCATCAGACTGCATCCCAGGATGGCCAAGAGGAAAAGGCTGAGGTGGGGCTGGGTGACTGCCTTTCCTGTCCTGGGCCACATGCGCACATGACAAGACAGGAGGACCTGTGTGTGTGTGGGGGTGTGTGTGTGTGTGTGTAAGAGGTGTTGCTAACTCCTAAAGGCCAGTCCTGGGGGAGCAGGGGTGACCTTTGGGGGGGCTAGGAATGAAGGACCTGTGGCGTTGGGCCAAGGCACAGCTCGTGCGTCTCTCTGCCCAGTGCTGCAGGGCCGGGTTTACCGATTCTGCACAGCGGAGGGCCTGTGGCTGCGCCAGGACAACTCCAGCTCGCCCTGGAGGAACCTGTCAGAATGCGAGGAGTCCAAGCCAGGGGAGAGAGTGAGTTGTAGATGGGGGCTCTGAGGCAGCGAGGGGTAGCAGGGTCACAGCGTAACTGGAGCTGGGACCCCGGGCATCTGGGGGGCTGGTCTGTGGCCATCTTATCTATCCCCCTGTCTCTGGGGCCTTTGCACACCATGCTCGCTGGGCAGAGGTGATATGTGTTCACCCCGCTGGCCTTTGGACAAGGCCCTAGACAGCCAAGGGCCATGGCCATAGGTTATTTTCTTTCTTACTTCTGGGGTCCCTTGTGCAGCCTGACTCGGGGCCCTGCCTCTGCCCCTGTCCCCTGGGGAAGGGGAAAGAGGCAAGGGGGAGAGGAGGGCGTGGGCTACCTCATGTGCAGCATATCCCTCGTGTGCACACAGAGCTCCCCAGAGGAGCAGCTCCTGTCCTTTTCCATCATCTACACAGTGGGCTACACGCTCTCCTTCTCCGCTCTGGTCATCGCCTCCGCCATCCTCCTGAGCTTCAGGTAAGAAGTCAGGGGGGGGGGTCGCTGGAGGGGCTGCTCCATCCCAACGCCCCACTCTGTCCCCAGATGAGGGAGCAGAAAACTAAAGTGACCATGCAGCAGGTTCTTCTCCTAAGAGATCTCTGGAGAGCCTGTCCCCTTCCTGCATACGAGGCTGAAAACATGGACTAGGACACTGTATGCTTGGTCTAATCTCTACTCTGTAAAAGCATGCTTAGAATACTGCAAAAAAGGAAAAAAAAAAAGAACCACAAATACCACACAAGGAATACAAAAGGCACACACCCCCAAACCTTAGTAGTGGGTGGCAGGATTAGGGGATATCCTCTTCCGTGAGCCTGCAAAGCTTAAGTAGGAATTCATTATGATTTTAGATAAGAGCTCAAGGATTTAGAGATTTTGCTTGCTCTCTTTGGAGCTTATCAGCCCCATGGAAGAGGTCTTCCTATGGCTAATCTTGATGAGCCATTCCTTCCAGAGGGCCCTCTTCTTCCCACTCCCTCTGCACTTGGTGGGTGAGTGGGAGGGGCCTGGGTTCAAGGTCAGGAGGGATTTTGAGTGCAGGGACCTCAGGCCACCAGCCAGCAGAAACAGGACAGGCTTCATTCCTCTTGCTGCCCCCATGGCACCTGGCACAGTGAATGTGGGGCCACAGTCAGTGTTTAATAAATGCATTCACTCAAAAATAAAATAAAATAAATGCATTCACTCAGTGAACATTCCCCCCTTGTATTATGAAGTATTTCAGTGATCTGAAAATACAGTGGCTGCTACGGATCACTCTTGTGCTCAATACCCAGCACAGTCACGCCGCCCTGGGGGGTCCCTCCCTGCCACTGCCCACCACCCCCCAACCAGAGGGAACCCCCGAAGGGGCTACTTATAATTCCCCTGCATCTCTATACCTCTGCCACCTTTTTAGTATCTATGAAAATATGTAGCTGCGGGTTTTGCATATTTTTAAGGGCATGTTGTACAACCCCTTTTGCAATGTTATTTTTGGCCTGGTGTGTTTTTGTGAGATTCATTTGTGTTGATACAGGTAGCTCTGTTTCATTTATTTTAACTGTCACTCCAGACTCTGTTGTATAACATGTTACAATTTATTTGTTATCACTTTAATGGGTACTTAAGGTTTTCCATTTTTTCTTCTCCTCTGAATTACAAACCTGGCTACAAGCAACATTCTTACTTATGACCCCTTGTGTATTTCTCCCGGGGGAGGAGGGGTGGCTGGGGCGCACACCTCTGAGTAGAAACGCCTGCTCTGAACACCACATGATTTTGTTTATTTATTAGGTGAGGTTGCTCTCCAAAGTGGTCATATTTGCCCTCTTACCAGTAATAAATGAGAATTGCCTTGCTTACCATCTTCACCAGTAGTTAGTACTTTTACCTAATTGTGGCTAATCTGAAGTGTGTGAAACATCTTGTGATTTTAATTGGCACAGCCCAGATTCCTAGAGGGATCAATCATTTGCGTCTGTTTCATTCTGTGAATCACTTACTCCCATCCTTTGCTTACTTTTTTTATTGGCTTATTTGGCTTCTTCTTTACTATTTTGCCTTTCATTATATATTCTCAATCCTAATCCGGGGTATATCCTCTCTTCATCTGTGATTTACTTTCTCACTCACTTGGTGGTGGCCTTTATACCTGGAAGTCCTTAATTTTAATGAAATGAAACATATCGATGTATCCATTTTTACTGATAAAATTTATCAGTAAATGTTATTAATTGATACAGATTGATTTTGCCAATTGATTAAAAAAGTCTATCAATTTTTTTTACCCCAAAGACCAAATTCCTTTATGGTCTTGTTTAAGAAATCTTTCCTTATCCCAGGGTCATAAGTTCTGTGCATTCCTTCTGGCTCTTTAGTCCACCTGGAATTAATTTTTGTTGATGGTGAAATTAAGAGACTTAATGTTGTTTCTATATACACGTCAAGTTAATTGCTTCAGTACCGTTTATGATAGCTCATCCTTTCCCCTTCGGGTTTAGGGCGCTTACTCTGTGATGCAGCAAGAGTTATCTTTGCCTGGGTTGCTTTCTGCCATCTGTATTCTTGCCCATTGTTCTATTTATCTGTCCGATTGCCAGTATCATGAGGGCTTAACTACTATAAACTAATTGAAAACCTCAGTTCTCTTAAAGTAAAAGCCCACTTTGTGGTTCTTTAGGTGTGTCTGGTGTATTCTTGGCCCTTGGTTCTTTGTATGTTTTGAGAGTTCCAGGAAAAAAAAAACAAAACCCTGTTGGAGTTTTTAGTATGGCTATATTGAATTTATCAGTTACAGAGGCAAGAATTGCCACTCTCAAAATAGTGAGTCTTTCTGTCCATGAACTTAGGATTTTAAGTCTTCCCTAACAATTTTAAGCAAGTTTTATTATATCCTCCATAGAGAACTTGCCCATCTTCTGTTGGACTTTTTTCTATGTAGCCAATTAAAAAATTGTAAGTGAATTTTTGAAATTTGTTTTTTAAGTGTTTATTGCTGCTCTGCATAAACGCACATCAGCAACCTTGCTAGATGAACTCTCTTAATTGGTTCTAATAATTTGTGTGTAGATTATCTTGAATTCTCAATGAAGATACTCTCCCCTCTACAAATAATGACAATTTTGTTCTTTTATTTCCAATTCTTACGATTTTTTTTCCCCTTGTACTCTTCCAGCGGCCAGGATCTGGACTATGATGTTCAATAGATGTGATGATAGCTTTGTTAGGCTAGGCAATTCTTATTTACTTGAATTTGAAGGAAATGCTTATAAAATTCCTCAGTTAAGAATGATGTTTGCTCCCGGTGTGGTTCGATAGCCCTTATCAAGTTAAGAAACGCCCTTGTATTTGCAGTTAGCTATGCGTTTTTTTACCTGAAAGGATACTGAAATTGTGTCTAATACTTCCTGAATTCCTACCATGTGCTTCGCCCTAGCCTTCTGTGAGGCAACCTTGAGGCATGTGAGAGGTGGGTCCTTTCCTCAGGAAGTCTCTCTTGGGCCAAGGGGTCCTCACACACAAATCACTTGGCTTACACACAACTCTGTAGAAAAGAAGACGCCGTAGAAGGAAGGATAGTGTGGATGGAGGGTGGCAGTGAGCACACACCTGAAGGCTTCGTGGAGAGGCAGGACTTAACATTGGGCTGAGAATTTTCAGGGTTATGAGGAAGAAGGGCATTTTCAGAGGAAGAAAAGACAGTCCCAGAGACAGACACATGCCTGAGGGGGTTCGTTAGCTTGAGAACTGAGGCTTGTGGAGCAGACCCGCCGGCCATCTTGCCAGGAAGGAGCTCTGCTTTGTCCCACAGACACCTGCACTGCACCCGGAACTACATCCACCTGAACCTGTTTGCATCCTTCATCCTGCGAGCCCTGTCCGTCTTCATCAGGGATGCGGTCCTCAAGTGGATGTACAGCACGGCCCCCCAGCAGCACCAGTGGGATGGGCTCCTCTCCTACCAGGTGTGTGGTTCGGTCAGGAAGGGCCCCGGGGAGGGTTGCACAGTCAGGGAAGGCAGCCTCTCCTGCCCCACCCAGACCTGGCACAAAGAAACGCAAAAGCTGCCCCCACCTGGTCCTCAGGGAGCCCCCAGTCCGATGGGACAGGCAGTGCCCCCTTGGGATCCCCCAATCTAAGGAGGTGGACCCTCTCCCTGCCCCTAAGGAGTTCTGTCTGACCCAGGAAGGGGATTTGGGAAACGGACCCAGGCTGGACTCCCAGCTCTGCTCTTTAACTAGCTGTAGAGCTTGGGGTGAGTCGCTTAATGTCTCTGGGCCTCAATTTTCTTAGCTGTAATGGGGCTAATGGCTTCTGCCATCCCCATAGTGATTCAGTGTGCTAAAGCAGGTCCAAGTTCTTAGCTCTGGCCCTGGCAAGAAGGCCTTAGCTCGCTCCTCCTGCATTCAAGGCAGGAGGGTAGAGACTGGGGCAGGATGGGGAGAGGGGCCAAGGGAGGCAGGGGGCAGAGCTGTTGTCCCCTGGGGACCCTTTCTCCACCCCCAGGATTCTCTGGGCTGCCGCCTGGTGTTCCTGCTCATGCAGTACTGCGTGGCAGCCAACTACTACTGGCTCCTGGTGGAGGGTGTGTACCTGTACACACTTCTGGCCTTCTCCGTCTTCTCCGAGCAGCGCATCTTCAGGCTATATCTGAGCATAGGCTGGGGTAAGGCCCACAGTCCTTCGTCTCACGCGCCCCTCCACCCCAACCTGTGGCGTGGGAAGTGGGAGACCCTGACCTCTCTCGGGACTACCACCCTCAGGCCACCCCCAGGAAGCCGGCTTGGTACTGAGAACACACTGCTGGCCCAGCGCGGCCAGGCCTGCTGGATAACCCCAGATAATGGGACTGCAGTTACCCTCCCCTCCCCGCACAACCCTTTCCACTTTATGGAAGCAGAGGCCTCCACCCTGTCTGACCAGATACACCACACACACACACATACACACACTGGCGGCCATCGCACGGTCCTCAGATAGCTCTAAGACCCTTGGCGGGGGAGCCCCAGGCCCTGAGGGAAATAGGAGAGTCCTGGAGCTCAGGGTAGGGGGTCGGGAGGTGAGTGCTGAGGCGCTGTGGCTCTGTCAGCCAATGATGATGAGGTGGGCTCCGAGGATCCTGGCAGGGCAGGGCTGGTTAGCCAGAAGCCCGCTGAGGAAGGGTGGACCGCGGATGTGCCGGGAGCCCAGCTGGAAATGTTCTAGCCAAAAAAGTTTGTGGAGAACCATTGTGTCCTTTTTTTTGCTGGAACATTTCTGGTTGTGCTTCTGCCTCTCGCCATGTGGGATTCTGATGAGGACAGGGGCTGAGCCCCCCGCCACCAGCAGCCCCATAGCCCCCACCCCCCCACGACAGGGAAAACGATTGCAACGGGAGTATTTGTTTTCAGGAGCCCCCCTGGGACAGAGCCAGAGAACCTTGCCCTCTGGCCCTTCTGAATCTGCCCATGGCCCTGCCCCCCACCTCCAGCTTGCCATTCAGTCATTCCCTACTGTCATTCCTTCCTTCCCCTGCCTCAGATTGCTCTGACCACTCTGCCCTGACCTATGACCTCTGGGGACTTACGGCCTCAGTCAAGGCCACGTGAAGTCCCCCTCCCATACAGGCTCCTCATCCATTCAGCCCGCCTCTTCAGGAAGCCTCCACTGGTTGTCTGGCCCTCTTAGCCTCCCTGCCCCTGTCCCCTCCCTACATTCCTTTCTGCTGGTATCTGTCAGCCACTTGGCTCTATATGGCCCCATTGTAGAAGGGGGCCTCTAAAGGGGGTGATCAATATCTTGAAGACACTGAGGCCCAGAGAGGGCAGGGCCTCACAGGCAGAGCAGGCCCTGGAACCAGGCCTCCTGACTCCCAGGCCCCGGGCCCCTGCTGCCTGTCATCAAAACTTCTCTGTCCTGTGCTGCCTCTTGAATCCCCTGAAGGCGCAGCTGAGTAAGCTCAGGCCCCCGCACAAGTGGGCGGGTGGGCCTGGCCTCTGGGTACAGCTCCTTGCTCCCACTCTTCCCTCCCCCAGGGCCCATCTCTCCCTGTTCTGCCTTCCTCCCCTCCTAGGCTGGGGCCATCAACCAGGCAGAGGGCAGCTGGAGAGCCCTGCCGCTAGTTGAGGGTGGGTGGCTTTACATCACTGAGGGGAGCTCTGGGAAGGCTGTCCTGAGGGTGGGGGACCATGCCTATCCATTCTGGGAAATAGCATCAGCGCTGTTCGTGCCAGTCTCCATGGCGACCTGAGGGCAGGAACAATCAGAGGGACAGTGTGATGTATGCAGAGGAGAGGGGGTGGTTGGTGGAGGGTTGGTGGGGGCACATGGCATCCTAGGGGCTTCTGAATGGGAAATGGGGGAGGGGTGCCCATCTTTTCCTACCACCTCATGCCGTGGCTCAGGGTCTGAGGGGGCAGAGGGGTAGGACCAGGGGGACCTTCCTTCCATCTTGAGGGATTGGGATGGGAAAATACAGGGAAAGACAAAGGGGCAGGGACAGAGGACACAAAGACAGATCTGCAAAGAGCTCTGTTGTGGGGCCCGGGGACCTAGCCCATGTTGGGGTGCTTGGAAACAACTTTCAGCTTCATGTGCTGGCAGAAGAATCAAAATGAAAACTCGGACACAGCTGGGGAGTCCCCAGAAGACATGTCAGCTTCTTTAGCCATCTGCCAGCAGCGGGGTGTCCCCATAACATGCCACAAAGAGGCTGCCTGGGGGAAGGCACGTGATGGAGAAGGGAACCATTACTTCTCAGGGCCAGTCCTATGTGTCTTACTTTGGGCTTTTTCCTCCTCCAGCCTGTCTTGTTGACTTTCTAAGTAGCGGAAAGATGCAGCCGGCCGAGGGCATGTCGTGTTTGCGTGTGACATAGCTGTGCCCGCATTTTTTAAAAAGGCTTTGCTAAGGAGAGGCTGATGAGTGAGCTATGTTCGCTGGGTCTTGTTGATAACATGAGTGAGCTCCCCAATCCTGGAGTGGGTCTCAGGGAGAAAGGTCAGCAGGTGACTGGCAATGTCCAAGAGGGAGGCGTCCACAGGCGTGCGTGGCTCAGGGAACTGGCAGGTTCTTGCCAGGAGAATTCCCCTGCTCTCACTGATAAATCAATCCACTCGTCATTCCTTCCTTCCATCGTCTTTGAGCATCTTCTGTGTGGCGTGCTATGTTCTGAGGCCTTTGGAAGCCACCCGTCTCTTGTGCAGTCTCACGAGGGCCTATTGGTAAAGCATCATGGATGCTCAGGTCTGGCTTGTGTGACAATAAATGACCAGGGAGAAGGAGATCCAATGAAAACTGATGGTCAGCTGCTGTTTCCTCCATCCCTGTCTTTGCTATAATTCCAGGCATCTCTCCTGCTCAGGAGCTGCTCTTGGGGACATGGATCACGGCAACAAGAAAGGCTGGGGAAACGTGCTTTTGGGGGAGACGCCCTAAGGCCACACAGGCATAGGCACGGACTGCCCCACCACCACACACTCACATCATTGTGCGCACACCTCAGTACGCACACTCTTACCTAGCTCAGACGCCCGCATCTCCCACCCTGTGAGAGGCACCCATAGGGACAGGCATGGGGAGCTGGTGCAGAAAGCCACTGAAGGTGGTTGGCGTGGCCGTGGGATGGCAGCCCTGCGTTCTAGGTTCTAGTCCCACCTGTGCCCTCCTGAGCTCCTGACTCATCTCCGTCCGTTGTGAGGATGGGCAGTCCGTTTGGAGTCAGCAAATGTATTGAGCTCTCAGGGCGAGCCAAGCGCCGAGGCTCTGAAGATGAATGAGGCTGTCCCCTGGGGAGCAGAAGATCCCACAACTTAACTGCTGAAAGCAGCCATTCTTCTCGCAGTTGCTATGGGCGGGAATCTGGGTTCAATGGGGCTGCATGCCTCTGGGTCCAAGTCTCTAACAGGGATGCAGTCAAGCTGTCGCCCCCAGGATGTTGTCACCACAAGTCCTCACTGGAGTTGGAGAGTCCCCCACAAACTCACTCGAGAGGCTGTCAGGAAGCACAGGCCCTTTGCTGCCTGTTGGCTGGAGGCCTCCGCCCCTCACCACAGGGGCCTCCACGGGCTCTCTGAGCACCCCCATGACCTGGCAACTGGTGTCCCCCAGAGCAAGCAATCAGATTGAGAGAGAGAGCCAAGACAAGCCTTTCCTAACCTTTTAAGACAGTGTTTTATAACCTAATCTCAGAAGTGACATGCCGTCACTTCTGCGCACGTTATCGGTCATGCAGACCGATCCTGACATGGCATAGGCTACCCCATGGTGCGGATACCAGGGGCTAGGGGTCGCGTGGGGCCTTCCTAGAGGCCTCCTGCCACACCAGCTGAGTCTCAGCCGAGTGCAGAGTGTGGACACTGGAGCTGTTGTTACCTGGGCCACTGCGCGGTTAGCTGGGCTCTTGGCCTCAAAGTCAGGGTCCTTACCTCCCCTCCAGGGTTCTGCTCAGCCACCTGCAGTGAGAGCAGGTAGGGCACAGGTGGCCAGAGGGGCTTCCAGTGCCTGAAGGAGTTGACTGAGTTGGGCACAAGGGCCACAGCAGAGGGAGGAGGCATCAGAGGGTTGGCCTGTCCCCACCTCACCTGCATGTTCTCCACAATCCATGGTCTTGTCCCTCTGTTACTTGGGTGTCTGCATCCTCATGCCTCAGCCACGACTTGCGGACAAGCTCTGACAGTGTGCCTGGGAGGGAGGGGCAAGGGAGTGAGGACAGATACAGCTGTAACATGGTGGGATCCTCTCTCTGAGGAAGAGTCTGGTGTGTGGGGTGGGAAGTGGGTGTTCGTGCCGCCTCCGCTCTCCCATGCTCCCAGACCAGCCTAGTTCCACACCTGCTAGGAAGTGGTTTTGTGGTCAGTTAAGGGAAGGGCATGATGGCAGGAGAGGCCTGGGGAAGGAGAGGCCCTTGGGTGTGCCTGGTGCTGGCTCAGGCCTGCCAGCCCCTCTCCCCTCTCTCTCTCTTTCCCTCTCTCCTCTCAGGTGTTCCCCTGCTGTTTGTTATCCCTTGGGGCATTGTCAAGTACCTCTATGAGGATGAGGGGTGAGTGTCCTGCTCCTGGGTCCCCATCCTCAGACCCCACGGGATTCCTTGGCCCTTGGGTCACGTCGCTACTACCTGTTGGGAGAATACACTGAGGGACCAGGAGCTTCATTTACAGATTCGGTTCTCTAGTACCCCTACCCTGTCCTTCCCTTGGACTGTGTGATGGCAGACGGTGCTGGTCCAAGGAGCATGTAGTGGCTTTTCTGTAATAATTATGAAATGTCTCTGCTATTTTGTTTATAATGCTAGGCACACACTTGAGTGTTTGTGGGTTCCTGAAGGGGCCATGTGTATCTTTCTGACCATGTATTTAGGACTCTGGCTCTGGTGTGTGTGTGTGTGTGTGTGTGTGTGTGTGTGTGTCTTGAAGAACTCTGTGAGTCTGTGAGACTGGTTGTTGGGTGGCTCATGGTGGCCGTGTCTGTGTGCCCCTGGGCCTGCTCTGTGAGCTGGGGGCTCATTGTCTCCCTTCCCCTCCAGCTGCTGGACCAGGAACTCCAACATGAATTACTGGCTCATCATCCGGCTACCAATTCTCTTTGCCATTGGGGTGAGTGATGGTGTGGGGGCGGGCGTAGCAGTTCTGGCATCCGGAGCTGCTGCGGAAAGGCTGGGAGATTGTGGGTGTTTTGAGAGGGCCCCCAGCCGCCTCCTCCTGTCTGCCCTGCAGGTGAACTTCCTCATCTTTATCCGGGTCATCTGCATTGTGGTGTCCAAGCTCAAAGCCAATGTCATGTGCAAGACAGACATCAAGTGCAGGTGATGCGCCCAAGCTGTCTCTGCAGGGTCCCCTCGGCCCTTGTTTCCGGAAGAGATGGACAGATCCTGGGGTGCTGAGCTTGGGACCCCACATGACCTTCTTCTCCCACCTGGGCCAGCCTGGGACCCCAAGCCTTGTCCTTAGCCCTGGACCTGGGCAGCTCCTGGGCTTCTGGGGGTGTTGACCTCTACTTCCCCCCTGCCAGGCAGCCCAGCCCAGTGTGTCTTGGGTGGGAGTGTCTGCTGCCCCAGATGTGGGGTCGGGGCACAGAAAGGGGAAAAGAGTCCATTGGGAGAGATCCAGAATGATGTCTTCACCCCTACCCCCTAGACTTGCCAAGTCCACACTGACACTCATCCCTCTGCTGGGGACCCACGAGGTCGTCTTTGCCTTTGTGATGGACGAGCACGCCCGGGGGACGCTGCGCTTCATCAAGCTGTTCACAGAGCTGTCCTTCACCTCCTTCCAGGTGAGCTCATGACCTCCTCACTTGCCAGGTCGCAGAGTGGCAGTGGGGTAGACTCTGGCCCACACCGTGCCGATGGGCACCTTGGGGCCCGGGGGGAAAGCAGACTATGCCCAGAGTTCTGTGGCTGAAGCAGAGCCGGGGCTAGAATCGGCGCCTGGCACCCTCATGTGGGACAAGACGCCTTCCCAGAGGCAGCCGTGGGCACCCTGCCTGGCATCACAGCGGCCGGATCCCAGGCTGTTGCTGGGTGTAGACACCTCACCAGGGGCTTTGCATACATTATCCTCGCAGCACCCCAGGAGGCGTGCGGGTCGCCCGATTTTACAGAGGGGGAAACTGAGGCTCGGAGGTGTTAAAACAAGATGTGCCACATCACATAGTTTCCAAAGCCAAGGATTCATCCTCTCCCCTAGTATTAGCTGATCCCACAGGCACAGATGTATGAGAGCCTGGTCTCAGTCCCTCAGGAGGCCTGTGGGAGGGCCACACGCATGTAGGCCTGTGCACGTGATCGTCACGTATGTGTGCACACACACACACAGATGACAGCTCTGGAGCAGCGAGTATGCTGAGTGAGCAGACGGAGCCGTGGTGGGAAGATGGCCCATGATCAGAGGACTTCCTAGGGTCAGACCTCCTCAAGGAGGAAGAGCTTCTGCAGTATCTAAGCAAGGGGCCTTCTTGTATCTCCAGAAAGGAAAGGAGAAGGAACCCTCCACGTGGGCTCTGGGCCTGCTGGGGCTGCCCATTCTGAGGAGGTGGTTGTTGGGACTAGAGCCCCAAGGAGTTCAGGGTCTCCTGTAGGGCACCTCCTTCCCGCTTCCTCCCTATGACGGGACTCTTGTTTCCAGGGGCTGATGGTCGCCATCTTGTACTGCTTTGTCAACAATGAGGTAAGGCCTGAGGGGGAACGGTGGGGACCCTTACGGGGATGCTACCACTCTTATAGGCAGTTCTGGAGTTGTCAAGGGGGACTCCCATCCATCTTTTCAGCTGAAACCCCCTACACATCCCACTAGGCACTAGACCTGAGGAAGCATCTTGTCCATGTGTTGTTTTCTGTACACGGGTCTCTCTCTCTCTCACACGCACACACAGGCATACCCTAATTTGTGTGAACTTGGGAAAGACCCAGCCTGGTGTGAAGGGGGTCCGGAGTGAACAGGTGATGGTTAAAAGATGATTCAACAGTAGACGTACCCAAGTCACATACTGGGGCTTTAATAATCACTATCTTATTTGTCACTGCTTCCCCCACCACCACCACCAAAAAAAAAAAAAAAAAAAAAAAAAAAAAAAAAAAAAAAAATCCCTGCTAAAATTATGGTTTTAATATTCCCATTTTTCACACATGAAATCATTGGAGATCAGAAAGAATAGGAAGCATGCCCCAGGTTTGGCCTGGAAGTGGAGGCAGAGCTGGGACTGGAATGCATTCTAACAGAAAGAGGGACGTGCCCACTGTGTGTGTGCAGGGGAGAGCCCCGCCTACTATGGCAAAGGGGTGCATTCCTACAGGGGCTTTCTGCTTGCTGGGGTGGAAGAAGGGGGCTGCTGCTAATCCCCACACCCTCTCCTCTCCTGTGGATCCTCCTGGACCATAGCCCCTCCCCTCCCTGAGACCGTCAGGCCCTGGGGAGGGGTACCTGTGCCTATGGTGCCTGGGGAAGGCCCCTTCCACCCAGGTACCCAGTTTTGTGCTGGAGCAGATCAGGAGCAGCCCCATGCCATCAGACTGGGTATCACAAATGCCACAGCACCCCCTCCCCCTTCCTTCCAGGAGGGAAACAAATGGTAATACTAGATGTGGCGCCGGTGCCCTCTGGGGAAGTAGTCACAGAGGGAGGACCCCGGCAAGGAAGAGAGGGTGGGAAATCTTCCATTCCAGACTCTGGGGAGTCACTGGAGGCCTCTCTTAACTCTGTTCAGGTCCACGTGAGGGTTTATATCTGTGAATCTGGGGCTAAATGACCCGAGGACACAGCTCCTCAAAGAGCCGGTGCTCCTGGTGTGCCTTCTGTCACTGAGGGAGTTCGGAGATCTCAAGAGTCTGCATTCATACATTACTTTTACTTGCGCTGTGGGCATGGGGGACATGGCCGTGGCAGTGTGTAGGGACCTTGGTATTTCAGGGAGCCGTGAGATGGCTCAGAGCACAGTGCGACGTGGTGAGACAGAGGTGGGATGAGGGCTGTGGCTTCAGGTCCCTGCTCCCATCCAGGCCCCACCGCTTAATGAGCTGTGTGGCTTTGGGCAAGTCACATGCCCACAGTGGGACACCTGTCTCCTCTTCTGCAAAGTGGAGTTAATGATGCTCAGAGCACATGGATCTCTAAAAGGGAGGGAGACGCTTCCTGAAGGTTTACTGTGTACAAGGTGCTCACGTGTTCTAGTAAATGCAATCTGTGCAGCAGGGGCTATTGTCCTTATACAGGTGAGGAAATTAAGCCTTGGCAAAATGAAATGAATAGCCCCAGTTCAATAGCTCGAAGGTGGTGGGGCTGGTGGACGGGGAGGGGTCTCCACTAATGGCTCAGCGCTGGGAAGGGGAGGCAGGGCCAGGCACAGAGTGGCCCACAGAGGCATTCCGGCCAGTCTCCCAGGGCTTACCGGGCTTTGTGCGGGGTGGGTGGGGGAAGGAGAGGAGGCCGGTGCAGAGAACACTCACAGGGGCCTTGTCCTCCCGACAGGCCCTCGCTCCACGGGAGGCACGTGAGGTACCAGCTAGCTCTTCCCCACACCTGAGCCCTCACAAAGAACTTCCTAAAGAACTGAAGAAAATGCTGAGAGACAAGGAACCGGCAGCTCCACAGGACAGCACTTCCCTCAGGAATGGCTCTCAGCCAGAGGGGTGATGTGCCTGCTGGCCCTAGCGCTGCTGCTTTACTTCCCAGGGACAGGGCAGGGTGGCAGGCGTCCCCGGTGCGGGCTGGAGTGATGAGGCTCCCTTCCGTGCCTTCTCACCTTCTCGGTCCCTCGAGGTTCCTGTTTCCCCCTCCTCCCTCCTCTTCCGCAAAGCCTTGCCAGCAGCACGTGCTTCCCCCGACACACATGCGTGCCAGCCTTCCCCACCACTTCTGCAGAAAGTCTCCTGGACCCTGGCTGAGTTTCCTCCCGGCCCTCTTCCATCACCTCCCCGCTTCATCCACCTCCCAGGGCTGGCCTAGTTTTGTCAGGAGGGAGGGTCGGGCACACGTCCCACTGGATCCTTGGCAACTAATGGCCCCTCAGTCACCAGATCCCCAGCTGGCCTCTCCCCTTGGGCTCTCCCAGGCTCAGGCTGTGGGGTTCAGGAGGCCTGAACTTGCCTTGTTCAAGTGCGCTGCCCAGTTCCCAGAGACGCCTCAGGCCCTGGCTCCTCCAGGCACCAGGACAGACATGTCACCTTCACTTGGCCACAGAAACACACGTGGCTCCTGGGCTGAGATCTCGGTCCACAAAAGCTGTTCTCCAGGCCCAGGGCTGCCATGGCAATGCCAGGTACTTGTGACCTGAAAAGATGGCCTGGACATGGGTCCTGCCTCAGCTGCCAGGAGCACAGACCTGGGGAGGGGAGGGGAGGGGGTGGTTCTACCATGGCTCATGTGTCCTCTCACCATGGCTCTGACCCAGAAGCCTGAGTGTCAATCCCAGATCTGCCACTATCCAGTTGTGGCACATGAGCAGTCACTTTGCCTCTTCCCCCAAGTGTAGACAGAAGTGAGTGAGCTTCACCCATTCTTCCCAAATCCCAGAGCCTGAGGTCTGGCCAGACAGGACTTCTGAGGCAGGGAGTCGGGTAAACTTAGCAGGTGAGGAAGCGTACCACCATAAGTGCAGGGACAGGTGTCTGGGACTCGTGGCGTCACCCCCTCTGTTTCACTGTAGTAACTCAGTAGCACAAGGAGCCCTGTGTCAGATGCTTGTTTTGTCGCTCACTCCTTCCCTCAGCTCATTTACAAAGCACATGTGGAGGGCCTGCTGTATGTGGGGCAAGGCACTGGGTCTGGGGATCCAGATGAGGACGAGGTGGTCCCGGCAGAAAGGGCAGCATGGGTCAGAGCTCTGAGAAGTCCCAGGCCCGTCCCTTTTCCTGCTGGTGTCCACGAAACCACCTCAGTCCCTGAAGTAGCTTCCCACAGATGTGCCTCCATTTATCCTCCTTCTCCCCAGCCTCTGCAGTTAAGGCTGTAAGACCAGATGGGCCTCCAAGCTGCTGCACAAGCAGAGGCTCCTATCCCCCTGGGGTGTCCCCGTACCTCCTGTTGGCACACTTGCCACAGGTCCCCAGCCAGGCAGTGAGCTGGCGCAGAGCAGGGCATCTGGACGCACCGTCCGCTCCGCCTCCCTCTGGCACCCACGCCTGGGTCCCCAAGACACGAGGGCAGTCCTGGGCAGGCAGGCTCTGGCCACCGGGCTCCACGCTGCTCTGAAGTCAGGCTCTCCCTCCTCCTCGTCTTCTCCCTCCGGCTCCGGTCTCCACATTGCTCTCACTCTCGTTCTCTTCCGTTAAACAATAGGATGGATTGCGGAGGGGCCTTAGCTGAGTCACAGAGTTTAGAGATGGAAGAGACCAATTAGATCATCAACCTCATCTCTCTCCTGAGGAGAGGCAGAAAATAAGAGACAACGATAAACAGTTTTATTGGCATATTAATTTAGGCGCCCAAAGGCCTTGACTTGTGTCTCTTAATATAATGCAGTGGATATTTTTCCCCCTTCCCTGCTAATGTAATAACGGGGCCATTTCGTGGACAATTGGTTTGCATGATGGCTGTTGTTTCCCTCCTTTTCCCACGGAAGGTCCAGCTGGAGTTTCGGAGGAGCTGGGAGCGCTGGCGGCTCAAGCACTTGCACACCCAGGGGGACAGCAGCATGAGGCCCCTCAAGTGCCCCACCAGCAGCCTGAGCAGCGGGGGCACCGTGGGCAGCAGCGTCTATGCAGCCACCTGCCAGGCCTCCTGCAGCTAAGACCCCCGCACCTGCCCTCCCTGTGGTCTCGCTGCTGGCTGGCTGGCTGGCCATCCCAGGTGGGAGAACCCCTGCCGGGGCTTGGGCGGGGTAGGGACACACGCTCGCATCCATCCCTGCTTTCCCTTCCCAAAGCCATCAGACAGGCAAACGGGCAGTGCCTCCTGGGACCCGTGGCCACATTTCCTCTGTGGAGAAACAGCTCTGCTAATTTGATCACCGTGGCAGGAGGAGAGAAAAACCGATTGCTGCTGAACTGAGGAGGATTTCTTCCCATGAAACCACCAGGCCCCTGGGGTACCCCAAGACAGAGCAGCAAATCAGCCCCGGACTCGCACTCAAGGTCAATGGCTTATTAGCGGGATTGCGGCATGCGAGAGAAGAGGCTCGTATAACCCAGCCACACAGAGCTGAGGGAACGTGAGCCAACCCTGCTTGCCTCCGGTTGGGTCACCGTCCCCACCACCTCCCCGTGAAGGGATGCTTCTCCCACGTCTGTGTTGCTTGTTCACCTTGCCTGGTCATCTCACCACCCAGCTTCTTGGCGGGGGCTTTGTCTGGGCTTCCAGCGGCAGCTATTTCTAGAAGTGGCTGTGGGTGGTGCTGGGCGTGAAAGCTGAGAAGGTACCTGATAGGTTCCTTTGCTGGTGCCCACTTCTCCCATGGGTGCCTGTCCTGTCTGGGTGCCCGCTACCCTGTGCCCAGGGAACAAGGCAGGCCCACTGCTGAGGAGCCCAGCATTTGGGACGAGCTCTGAATTCTGTTCTAGATATGCTCCAGAACCCTCTGGGGTTCAACGAGGAAACTTCAGGACCACCTGCACCGAGCGGTCCACTGTACCTGTAACTCTCGGGAACCCAGAGGGCTGAGAGCTTTACTTCCGTCTCTCCGGGGAAAGGCTTTTGTGACCAGATTATGTATCCCATGCAAGATAGCACAGGAGCTTGGCTATGCCCTCTGACTTTAAGAGACTTCTGGGGTAAACTACCAGTCGCCGCTGCTACCATGGAGGCAGTCTTCCCCTATCCTTGGTTTCTTCCCCTTGAAAGTCCCCCACTTGGGAGCTTGTATATACTTGATTCATTTTTCTTTATTGCTGTGAACAGTCTGCATGTGCAAATGTGCGATTCTGATTTCCCCCACCTGATGGAAAAAAGGACGAAACCATTGTGACTATGGTGGTGTTGGGGGGACTGGGGCATAATGGATTTGACTCAGTGTTTTCCCGGCCTCTGGTTTCATCCCATAAACAATGAGCAGCTGAGAGGCTGCACAGGGGAAACCTCTTGGTCCTGCCCCTGCCATGAGGAGAAGGCAGATAGGGCAGAGATCCAGACAGAAGGGAGACAGCCAGCCCAGGGAGGATGGCAATGGAGTCTGTGGATGCAAAGGAAGTTTCCAGAGTAGGAGAGAGCTTTTAAGGGAGTCCAGACCTCCTGGGAAGGTACAGGGAGTAGCTTCAAGTGAATTCCTTTATGGGTCCATCTCTCCCTTCTCCTCCTTAAGTGGCGGGGGACCCTCCCCCAAAACCTTGCACCAGAAACATTTTTTCTGTGCCTCTCAGAGAGGCATGTGATGTACAGGGGAAATAATAATGGGACATAAAACACATCAAGCAGAAAATTTCTTATACTTCAGCTTCAGTGGAGTGTTGTATCTATGTTAATGGGGAAGTTGAACCCCAGGCTAAAAAGAATTGTGCAGAGTTGCTCCTGGAGAAAATGTAGAGAGGTGGGGGATGTGGTAGGGGGGACCCCTGCTTCCCCGGAATAAGGGAGGATTTTCCAACAGGCCCCACTCCTTGGTTTTCTTTTCAGATAGGGGTAAAGGAGGAGATGAGCGCCCGTGAGTTGATGTGGGATACAATTCTGGTGCCAGTGTTTCAGTTTGGTATAAACTAGAAGATTTTGAGAATCATTAATACACTGCATAGCAAAAAAAGAAAGAACCAGATTGATATAACTTGAGAGAAATAAATTGTTGGGGGGGGCAGGAATTGTGGGGAGAAAGTATTTAGTTAGACACCAGGGATGCTCAGATAGTTTGGTTTAAACTGTAGGTAGAGTTCTTTTCCCAGATGGTACTGATTCCTGATCTCCGAAGGTTCATCATACTCCCATGCTCCAAGCCTTATAACACTAAGAACCATCTCCTTCACAGATACGTATCAGATACTGAAGAAGCATTTTCTTTGCTCCAAGACCCACACTATTAATATTCATTTGATTGGCAGTGTACTCCTACCAAACTATTCTCAAGCTCTCCTGAGCTAAATATAACTCTAAGAGATCTGGGAACACTCCCATGCCACGTATTCCCAAATTCCACTAGCTGTTTACATGCGTGACACTGAAGTGGGAAGCTTGCTGCACACAACTTCTCTGCCTCTGTCCTGAGGGTATGACTGCTGACCAGCAGGTGTGGACGGTGTGTCTGTCCACTGCACAGCCAGCAGGGGCTGGGGACTATTGTGAAGCCATTCTGAGTTCCGCACTCTGGCCAGCTCCACTCGTTAGGGGCTTAAATCGTGTTGACCCCATCTTTACCCATGTTGATCTTTAGAACAGCTAAATCACAGAACTGAAACAAACCACTTACACTGCAAAGCTGCCTTTGAGACAACTCTCCAGATTGCCCGAATGATTTTCAGTTGCCTCAAGGCAATCCCCACCGAACCCCTACCAGCTGTGTTTTTAAAGACTCAGAGCAGGGACAGACCGGCCCTCAATGAGATAAGTGAGGAGGGAGGCTTGCAGAGGTGACTTGGGGGAGGGAGGCGGGGCTCGGCCTCCAAGTCCAGGGAGGCCTCTGGGAAGGATAGGTGAGAAACAGAAATACCCATTCAAGATCCTCTTAGTAAAAGCCAGCAATGGGTATCTGGCATTTCTGTTAAAAAGGACTTGCAGCTGCGAAAGGTAGGCAGGTCAGCTAGTGAACGCACCACCTCTTCAGGGACTTCTGCCGAGAGTAGGGGAAGGCTGCGCTTCACCATCTCTACTATAGTCCTTCATCCTTGTCTTAAAATGAAATTGAAATGAAGCAGAGCGCACACACACACACACACACACACACACACACACACACACACAGAGAAGGGAGCCATTTTGAGTATTGACTCCAGCACTCTGGTACTGGGTTGGCTGAATGGTTTTCTGATGCGTCTGTGTTTAGTTAACAAGTTGCTCCGCCAGCCACTCAGAGTGAATTAAAAGAACTGGAAAAAGGTCCGGAAGACTAGAAAACTGGGCAGCGTTAGCCTAGCAGAGATGGCACAGCCCATACAAGGGCAAGTAGAGTCAGCTCATATCTACACCCTGAAAGGCTTGGTTGCCTCATCAGCATGGGTCGTGTTTTAGCAGCTCCTGTCTCCATCCAAGGAGAGAACACTCTGGGTGTGTGTGTGTGTGTGTGTGTGTGTGTGTTTCCTGTGCGCAGCAGCATAAAGTTAGGAGATGATGAGTCTGGAATCATCTCACCCACTGTGAAGGTCATGGCACCACACAGTACAGAGTGAAGATGGGCGGGAGCCTGAGCCGTAGATGCTTCCTCTCCATGCACAGACAGGGTTCACATTATTGCTAATGCCTGCGACGTGCTCAGGGAAGATAAAATATATTCCAGAGGTTTATTTTCCCTCCACTGAATTGATTCCAATCTACGGTGCTGACCCTGCTTTTGGCTCCTATGGGGAGCCAAACTCTATAAAAACTCTCAAATAAAATATGTCGGCTTCCTCTGCTAAGACAGCTATGTGAATGACATGCTAAGTATTTCAGTTGAAACCAAATTAGTATCAACTCAAAACTTTTTTTCCTTTCTGTTGCTGGAGCAAGGTTTTTTTGGGGGAAAGAAAATGTGAGAAACTTCTGCAAACAACATCGCCATGCCCGGACAGTATTCTCTGCTGGCTCAAACCAGCTCTTTGGCCATGCCCGGAGGGCTAGAGAAGGAAGTGTTGTTAAGCAGCGTCATTCAAACACTTAATGCCACAGTGTGTCTACAGTATCTATAATTACTTCTGCTCTGTCGGTGGCTACCGATTGACAGGAAGCAGATAAGCATAATTGTTTCCCCATTAACCACCCAGATCTCATGGACTTTGCCTGCATTTGAATCTCTCAGAGGGGGAGAGTTTTTGCTTCTCCCCTTTGGCCATTTTAGCCGGTTTCTGCGGACCTGATCCAGGGGTGCATTTTCTCTCTGATGCACCCCAGCTCCTCCCCACCCCCCACTACCTCCCTCCCGCTCACCTCCCCCATCCTCACCATGAGCTTCCCCAGGCTCCTCCTCCACCTGACCACGTGAGGAACGATGTTCTCTCAGTTCTCTCAGCTGTGACCAATTTGGGGGTACAGCTGAGAGTGAGGCACTGCCAGGGCTGAAATGGTGCACAGTACTCCATGCTCTGGGGCAGTGAGGAGCATGGCAGCCAGCGGCTTGGAGCCTAACTTACACTGGGGTTTTGCAACCTTTCTGATGGAGCCTGTCAAAACCATCAGTAATTAGTCAACCTGCACACTCTAGCATGACTAATTGCCACTGTGTCAGAGCAATGTGGGAGAAGGAAAACATACACAAATGAGAGTGTTGGGATGTGCTGGGCAAAAACTCCAAGTGAAGTTTGGAACATGTAACAAGTTAGGGTCTTGGCTTCTTTGTAGGGGAGCTGGAGGGACGATGGGGGTCAGGTCAGGAAGATGCAAGATTTCCCACAGACAGGGCTAGACCTTGCCAAACCGTTCACACTTTACTTCCAACCCTGCAGTTCTAAGCTCCTTCCACAAAACGTAATCATGTCCCCAAGGCAGATCAACCTCAACGTCCCACTGGTTTTGGAGGGGTTCCATGCAGAGCTTTAAACACCAAGAGAGAGGTGAGCCAGGCTCTCAGGAGCTGGATTTCTTTCTTCAGTGCTCTTGGGGGAAGTCTGCTCTTCATGAATGTTTAAACAAGATAATTTTCATGCGATTTCTTAATATATAAATTCATGTATAATACGACCTGCGTCTATAGGTAGCAAACGTGTATAACTCCTTGCACAGACGTGAAATGGATGCAGACTCGTCCCTAATTTGCCTTGTAAACGTCAAATAAAGGTCTGTCATTACTGTGTCCCTTGTGCTCTTCCTTTGGGAGAGGAGGTTTTTTGCAACGTCAACCCAGGTGACGGATGGTGCAGTGGGAAAACACAAAAGATGCCGTTTCCAGCCCAAGGGGGGGAAAAAGCCCTTGCTCATTACTGATTTTCATCTTCAGAGCACTTACCAAGTACTAATTTATCCATCGCAGCCTTTATACAGGGACTGCACTGCCATTTCATTAGAGAAGTTGGGTGGTCGAGTGGCCTAAACAATGACTGGCCGCCAAATGGACGTGTATTTTAATTCCCCTCATTCATTTGATCTCCCCTGTCTAAATGAACTCAGTCCATTAAATCCATTTTTTCCAAAATGTCATAAAAGCACAAGCCTGTGTGCAGAGCAGCCACAGAATCTGAATGGAGCTGCTGTTTAGAGATTCATCTTCAGAAAAAGGAACTTTCCTCCAATTTAAATGGTCTCTCGCTCTCCAGGTTTGGAACTCACTCTCCTAGCAGAGCAGAGCAGAGGGATTGTGGATTCTCCTACTT